TAATAATTTAATTTTAATACTTATTATTTGACAATTATATATATATATTAAACAAATAAATAGGAATAGAAAATATGAACGACTTAATACAAGCTATATATTTACTATATTCTTACAATCCTGAACAATATATTCACCAAATTCGATTTCTTAATAAAGAAGTCGAAATAATATATATAAATGATACAAAAACATGTTGCTTTTTTCAAGAAATTGGAAATATTAATAATTTTTATAAAAAATTAGCATCTCAATTAGATTCAATTATTAATATTAATAATATTAATAAAACTTCAAATGAAAATAATGAAATTTTAAATGTGAAATATAAAGAACTTTATTTTTTTTCTCATAAGTATGCTGTATTTAATTTTTAATTTTTAATATATATTCTTTATTGAATAACTTTAACTTTGTTAAGGTAAAGATATAATGCTAATAGATAATGCTAATAAAAACAATAAAGTAATGCAAATGGATAGCAGTAGTGATGCTAAAGATGAAGGTTATACAGAAGATGATGCAAAAAGTGATAATGAAAAAGATGATGAAAATGATAAGAAGAGTAATGAAAGAAGTGAAGAAGATAAGAATAAAGATGAGGATAAAGATAAGGATGAAGATGAGAATAAAGATAAGGATGAAGATGAGGATAATGATAAATGAAATATTAAGCGACAATGTAAATCTATAATTTGATTAGTTTTATTGACTTAAAAAAAAATACTTACTCTAATTTTTAATTTTAGGCATTGTAACAAAAACTTCTAAATAGGTTAATCAGTTCTCTATACCTGCTTTTCTTCAAGAAGTATCCCAAAATATTATAAACCAATATGTCATTTTAGCATCTATTATACAGAATACTAAATTTGACAAAATTGAAATTAATCCAACAAAAAAAATTGCAACACTTAAAAACAATCAGGATGAAATTATATTTAAGCCAATTAACTCTGTAGAAATTTGGAAGTCAAGTATAAACATTAAATTCTCTAAATTAGAAAGAGTTAGTAGAAAGCAATTTAACCAAGATCCTTATCTAATTCTTGGCTATTTTGCTAATTTTCAACTCACTAAAAAAAAGAATATATTAACTGATAATAAATTAAAAGTTTCAAATCAATATCATGAACTATTGGCTTTTGAAGAAGAACTATCTGTTATTGCACCATTTTATGATAAAAATTCTACTATTAAAAAAGATGATTATTATAAAAGTCTTCTTAAATATCTAAAAGAACTTTCTATATTTTGTAAAACTTCAATAGTTCAATTTGATCCTACTCAGATTAATAGTGGATTAGCTTTAGAATATGAAAATCTTAGATTATCAAATTCTGATAATAGTTTAAATTTGCAAGATCAGATTATGCTTTTAAGATGTATACCACAAGTATCTCAGGATCTTAGGGTTAGTAACTGTTTAAAGCATAATATATCAGATAAAAAAGTGCAAATTTTTACAACATTAATGAGCATGTGCTATTAGTCTATTTTTGATTATAATATTACAACTTATAATATTAAAGTTTTTTGCAGAATGTCACTTCGATTTTTGTATAAATTTGAATTAGCATATAATTATTTAATAGAATAGATAAAAAAATATACAACCTATGAAAAAGGAACCACATATGCAAATCAAGTAAGGTCTTTACTTACTAGAAAAGAATCACTATCTAATATGTTTAATATTAATCAATCAAACAATTCATTTAATATTAAACAAGTTATTGATGAGAATTCTTTCAAAGTAAGAAAAAGAAAAAAGAATCAAAATTTAGAAAGCTATTTAGATTTAAACATAAATATTCCTGGCTTTATAAAAAATATTTCATCAAGAAAACTTACAACTTTTATTATTGCAGGGCCTCGCTTGCATCAATTACTTGAAATACTCAATAATAATTGGGTACTTCTAGATTAATTGATGATGTAAGCATTACTTGGTTAGAGAATATGAGAAAAGATAAATAGATAGTTTTTATTAAAAATATTAAAGGATATTAAATGCTTTATATTAAAAATTTTGTATTAATTTTGTATTTGTTTTGCTAGATTGCTTTAATTGTAATATAATGTTTTGTATAATTAATGTATTAGTTATATTAAATAGTAAGTAATTATATAATTTTAAATAGCAATTATAATAAGTCTAATATGAGCATCATCAAAAAAAACTTTTTATTAGACTTTTAATTATATTTTGTATAGAGTTAGCTGTCTATGAAAAATCTATCACTATGATAGATTTTTCATAGACAGCTAACTATACACAAAATATAATTAAAAGTTCGATAACAGGTGATAAATTTATTTTTTACTTACAGATTATTCTTATATAATTATATTGATTCTTTTAATTTTTTCGCAACTTGTTTTTTGTAAATTGCTTTTCTATTAGTTTGGCAAAATACGAATTCGTTATTCGCAAAAAAATATTAGTAAAAAGAAGGTTAGTTTTTTTTAATAAATTGTTAGTAAAATTAATTAACTTAACAAAATTCAATTTTCAAATACTTATTTTAATTTATAAATTTTATAATAATTAGCTATGAATAATAAAGTTTTATGCACTTGTATATTTTGTATGCAAGAAACTGATAGTCATGACAAATTAATAAGTATTTCTTCTTGAACAAGACATAAGAAATAAGAAAAAAATCTTCAAAATTTTTTTCCAATTTCAAATAATACATCTAATAATATTTTAAATAATCAAATAAATATTGTTAGTATGGAAGTATTAAGGAAAATATTGAACAAAGTAAGATAAATTTTTTTTTAGATTATTTTGAATTAATTTTTTAAATTTTTTAAATTTAGAAAATGAGAAATTGGAGAATGATGAATTGGAAGAAAATGAATCAGAGAAGAATGGATCAGAGGAGAATGAATTAAAAAAGAATGAATCAGAAGAGAATAAATTGGAAGGAAATGAATCAGAGGAGAATGAATCAGAGGAAGATGAATTGGAAGAGAATGAATTAGAGAAGAATGAATTAGAGAAGGATGAATCAGAGGAGAATGAATTGGAGGAGGATGAATTGAAGGAAGATGAATCAGAAGAGGATGAATTGAAGAAGAATAAATTAGAAAGTAGTGAAAAAATAAGTTTTGAATCAGAAGAGAAATTTAATAATACTGAATTTAATAGTAATTATTTTTAATATTTTATTTAAAAAATAGTTCTTTAAAAATTTTTATATTAATATTTTTATATTTTAGATTTACCAAATGAAATAATTAAAGGGCTTCAGCTTCTTTATATCAAAGATAAATATACAATCTCTGATCAAGCATTTAATGAAATATCAGAAATTTTTAATATTTCTAATGTTTCTCTTTATCGGCTTCGAAAAGTTTTAGGAAATTTGGTTTCACTAGAACCAAAACTTATAGATATTTGTTGGAATTCTTGCTGTGCATTTACTGGACCAAATGCTAATCTTAATACATGTCCTATATGTAAAGAGTCACAATATACAACTAAAAAAAAATCCAAAAAATCTCAAAAACAATTAGCATATTTTTCAATAACAGATAGCTTAAAATTGCAATATAAAAATCCATCACAAGCAAAAGATCTTAAATATCAGTATGAATATACATCAAGAAAAGAATATACTTCTGAGAATAGCAAAATTGGGGATGTTTTTGATGGTAATAGATATAAAACTTTAGTAGCATCAGGCTTATTTTTGATTATAGAAATGTTGCTTTAATTGCATCTATGTATGGTTATCAACTTTTTAAGCAGAAACAAAATGACTGTTGGATAATTTTGCTTTTAAATGCAAATCTTACACCATCAAAAAGAGTAAAAAAAGAAAATTTAATAATTAATATGGTTATACCTGGACCAAAATCTTCAAAAGATTTTAATAGTTTTTTACGACCATTAGTTTATGAATTAAAGCAGCTTGAATGTAATTTTTTTAAATTTTAAATTATATAATTAATAGTATTAAATATATTAATTAAATTAATTTTATAAGTGGTGTAAATTGTTATGATGCAATATTAAAAGAAACATTTAAATTACATAGTTATATTCTTTCATGATCTGGAGATATTCTTGCTTTATCTAAAGTTATATATCTTTCAGATCATAATGCTAAATATGGATGCTGATATTGTTATATAAAAGGATCTTATTCTGAAACTGCAAGACATATATATTATCCATTTCAATCATTACAAGAATATAATAATCATGATCCAGAAAATTTACCAATGCATTCTCATAATAGTTATATTCTAGATAGTAATGAATGCAAACAAGGTAAGTTTTATTATTATTTTAATTAAATTTTAATTTATTTTAATTTATTTATTTATTATATTAATAGGTGTAAATGGATATAGTATTTTATTTGAATTATCTTCAATGAATTTTCTTTTATTATTTATAGTAGATATTATGCATGCATTTTTTGAAAATATTGCTTCTTATATGTTTCGTTACTTTATAGGATAATTTTTTAAAAATAAAAATTTAAATAATATTGAATATAAAATTCTAAAAAATAATTGGAATGAAATTGAAAAAATAATTGAATATAATAAAAAAACAATGCCAACAGATTTTGGTAGACCTCTTATTAATATTCAAAAATATTATTCATCTTTTAAAGCTGAGTAGTGGTGTAATTGGATAATTTTGTATTCAATTTCACTTTTGCATAAATATCTTCCAGAAAAGTAATTAGTTTTAATAATTTATAAATTTAAAAAATTATTATTATAAATAA